TAATATTTTATTTATTTGACAAAGAGAGACAGTGAGAGGGGGCACACAAGCAGGGGGAGTGGGAGAGGGAGAAGCAGGCTTCCCGCCGAGCAGGGAGCCCGATGTGGGGCCCGATCCCAAGACCCTGGGACCATGACCTGAGCCAAAGGCAGACACTTAATGACTGAGCCACCCAGGCGCCCCCAGCATCAATTCTAAAGTCCAAAGTTTCATCCAGTATCATCTAAGTCAAATATGGGTGAAACTCAAGTTACAGTTCATTCTGAGGCAAAATTCCTCTCCAGCTATGAACCTGAGGAACCAGATTAAGTTATATGCTTCCAAAATATAATGGCAGGACAGGCACAGGGTAGACATTTGCATTCCAAAAGAGAGGGGCGCCTGCGTGGCTCAGTTGGTTAAGCATCCGACTCTTGATTTCCACTCAGGTCACGATCTCAGGGTCCTGAGACTGAAGATCAAAGAATTGGGCTCTGGGGCGCCTGGGTAGTTCAGCCATTAAGCGTCTGCCTTAGGCTCAGGTCATGATCCCAAGGTCCTTGGATCGAGCCCCGCATCGGGCTCCCTGCTCTGCAGGAGGCCTGCTTCTCTCTCTCCCACTCCCCCTGCTTGTGTTCCCTCTTTCACTGTGTCTCTCTCTGTCAAATAAATAAAATCTTAAAAAAAAAAAAAAAGAGTTGGGCTCTGTGCTGGGCATGGAGCCTGCTTAAGATTCTCTCTCTCTCTCTCCCCCTCTTCTGTCCTTCGCCCCCCCACCTTAAAAAAAAAAAGGGGGTGGAATCAGAAGGAAGTTAAGTGGTGACAGTACCCAAGCAAGTCTAAAACCTAGCAAAACAAATTCCATTAGGTCTTAAGGATCAAGAATAATCCTTTTTGGTTCAATGTCCCATCTTCTAGGCCCACTGGAAGTCAAGCCCACTGAGTCCCCCAAGGCTCCTAGCAGACACATAAGGCCTGCTGAAATTGAGGCAGTGGCCTGATCATCTCTGATTTGCCTTTGGGGTCATTTCTCCTCCTTCTTGATGAATAATCCATGTTCACAGCCACACAGCTCCATTATCCCACCTGTCAAATCCAAGAAGTCCAAAAGCCTTTTTTCATTTTGCCACATCTCTGTCCCCTACAGTTCAAACTGGCAGTATTTCTGCTAGAAAATCCTGTAAACTCTTTATCAGATGGTTTTCCAGCCACATACTTAATGTTCTTTTCAGAACAAGCTTCCTCAGTTTTTGCAATATGGAGAGGCTAAGAATTTTCCAAATCTTCAAATTCTAGTTCTTTTTTCCTTAACAATTCTATCTTTAATTATTCTCTCTCCATTTACACTTTAAGCAGTCAGGAGGATTCACACTGCTCCATCAACACTTTGCTTAGAAATCTCCTCAGCTAAGTATCTAATTGCATTGCTCACAATTCTTCCTTCTACAAAACACTACATCACAGTTCAGCCAAGTTTTTTGCCATTTTATAATAAGGATTGCCCTTCCTTCAGTTTCTAATAATATGTTCCTCATTTCTGAGACTTCACCAGAATTGTCCTTAATGTCCATATTTCTGGCATGCACCTCAAGCTGCTTCTGGCCTCTACCCAGTTACAAAGCTGCTACCACATGTTTAGGTATTAGCTATTGCAGCACTGCACTCCTGGTACCCAAATCTGCCTTAGTCAGCTTGGGCTGCCACAACAAAATACCAAACAGTGGTTAGCTTAAAACAGAAATTTATTTTCTCACAGTTCTAAAAACTAGAAGTCCAAGATAAAGGTACCAGCATGGTTGGTTTCTGGTAAGAGTTTTCTTTTTGGCTTGTAGATAGACACTTTCTCACTGTGTCATCACATGGTGGGGGGGAGGGGGCGCGGGTATTAGGGGAGAGAGAACAAGCTCTTTGGTGTCTTTTCTTATAAGGCACCAATCCATCACAAGGGATCTTTCCTCTGACCTCTCTAAACCTACTTATCTCCTAGAGGCCCTCTTTCCAAACACTAACACTGGGGGTCAGGGCTTCAACATATGATTTTGGGGAGACACAATTCAGTCTACAACACAGTAGCTCAGCATGGCCCTGATAGCTTGGGTAGCAGAACATACCTTCTTTCCCCAAAGGAATGAGAGAGGAGTGCAAAAGAGAAGGAATTAAAGAAGATTCTTTTGAGTTGGTGTAGTATACCAAAGGAATGCAGATTTCAGCAAGAGATTTCTCTGCTGGGGATCCTGATTATCACTTCACTGTAATAAGTTCAAGATGTGGCTATGTAACATGTCAAATTCTTTGAAGTAAAGAAAACATGAACAGAACTTTGGTAAAAACATTATGGGAAAGATTCAGGATTCTCCAGAGAACTTTGAAGCAATTTTAGAAAACCGATCCAGGCTAAACTTTACTCATTTTCTTTGAAACATAATTCTTTGACTGGGTCCAAACACTACTATGAAATAAAGGCCTAACGGTCGTGGCTAGGGATGGGGGCTGGACTGGGGAAGGACTGTGAGATGGAATCATGGCAGGGCCAAGAGAGAACTAACCACCTGGCACACACTCTTATTTCTAGACTTAAATGTTTAATGGGCTTAGAAATCAAGACAGCCAGATGTACTGTAGCTTGAGTTTAATAGGTCACGCTGATGTGAGGGGGACAAGATGAAGAGGGTAGGCTACGTGATGCTGAAGGGCCTTTCCAATACTCAATCCTCTTCCTGTTCTACAAAGATGTGGCAGTGGTTTCTGGAGACTATTTGCTGCTTCTAGATGAGGATACTGGCCTTGTCCTTACATAACTAAAGGGAAAGCTGGTAGCAGCGCCAGCTTCAAGAGCCCAGAGAGGAGAAAGAAATGATTAAACTGCCATCATTCATTCAAATGAACACAGGCCACCTAGAGCTGTAAGATTAAGGAAGAAGAATAAGCAAGGGCTTCAGGGAGAAAAATGGTAAAAAGACAAAAAAAAAAAAAATCCAAAAGACTTCAGATAGTGCTGGAGGAAAGGAAGCAGGTATCCAGTAAGTAAGCAGAAAGGAGAGAGAGTGCTCCTGCCGAGGAAAGGTGCACCAGCTTTGAGGTCCTCAGAAAAGGAAAGAGATCATTTCAGGATGGGTCAAGAAGAAAACAAACCCCTGAGAAATCAACAACAGGAAATCAGTAAGAGTGGTTGGCACTGAAAATGATCTTTACAACTCAAAAAGATCTTGTCACTCTATTCATGCTCATCGGCACAGTGCCTAGCATATAATAGATGCACACTAAGTATCTGCAGAGGAAAAAAATGTTAGAGTCCCACAACAGCCCTGAGAAGATCCTCCCAAAAATCAGTACAGTGAGATACAACAAAATATAAACATGCAATATAAAAAGAATAAAATCTACACTGTGGGAGATATAGGCTAGCTACAATTTAGAACAGGGACGACCTTTAGATTTGTGAAGCCCCTGAAATCCCACTCTGCTCACATTTTTTAGCAAGGCGGTTCAGAGCTTTTGATTATAATTTCAATGTGAGTTATCAGCAGTTGATATATTAAATTAGTTACTGTGCTGGCAAAAAATTAGTGGGAATGTGATATATAGGATATATTCATATATCTATCTATCTATCTAGGTTATAGTTTCATGTGTATTTACATACCACCTCAATTGTTATCCTTTAGACATATTGTAGTGGTAAACTACAGTTCAAAGATTAAGACTAACACTGTGCCTTTGTTGTTCTCTTTATATTGTACTTCCCCGCCACCCCACAAAAGCAATTTTTAGATGCACTATCTCATTCATGTTCCTAATGCTGCCTAACAAAGTTAGGAGCACACCAAAGGCGCTTATCCATTTTAGATTTTGATTTTGGTTTCTTAATAAATGTTAAAGACACTCATATTAAATATACTCAATAACAGTAAACCTTTAAATAGCAGAGAATGCAAAATATACTTTCAGAGAAGTTACATATCTAATGGAAAGAACCAGAGAGGCATACATACACCATATCAATTCCCCGTAGACAGAGCTCACAAGTTTCTGACCTCAAACTCCCTAAGTCAAATTTCCGAGAAATAAAAACTCAAACACCGAACACGGTGGTCCTAACCATTCGCTGAAGCTCCGTTTGCTTGATGTTGAATTTTTTAAAAAGATTTTATTTATTTACTTGAGAGTGAGCAAGAGAAAGAGCGAGAGGGAGCACAAGCCGGGGAAGAGGCTGAGGGAGAAAGCAGACTCCCCGCTCAGCAGGGAGCCCATCCTGAGATCAAGACCTGAGCTGAAGGCAGACGCTCAACCGACTGAGCCACCCAGATGCCCCACTGATGTTGAATTTTAAAACATTATTACTTTTCCTAATTATGAAAACACATCTGTGAACCCATTATTTGTTACTGTTACTTAACCGACTCCCCTCCCCATTAAACTAGACGGAGAACTGAAAACCACAAAGATAATACACTTTGATGTGTCTTTTAAAAAATTATCATGTTATTACTATTACCCACACCCTCCCCCCCCCACACACAAAGAATCGAATGCGCCCTACGGGGAAGCAGGAACTAGAGGAGGAAGCCAAAAAAAAAAAAATCTGCATTCGAGCAATAAAGTGCAATCTTTGAACCTCTAAACATCCCGGGGACACGTGTAATTTTTTTCTTCTTCTGGAGAGTGAAAGAGATCAAAATGATGTAAGAAAGGGTAGACGATAAAACTAAGGTCAATTTAAAATGCCCGGAACCGTGAAAAACTATAGCGAATCCTCAAGGTCAAAGTAGCAAGAGGGGCTCCGCAGAAGAGCTTGCTCGGGGGTGGGTATTTCGAGGACTTCAAAGGACGGGAATGGGGGTGGGGTGGGAAGACAGGAGGAAAGGGGGCGAAGAAGGGGAGGCTGGAAAGAAATGGAGAAATGGGAAAGAGGCAGGCCGCCAAGGCGCTGGCAAAGGAGTCGCCCGGGGGTGGGGAGGAGAAGGGGCTGGGAGCCCCGGCCCCGCCCCGGGGAGGCCCGAGCTCCCGGCCGTCCCCCTTACCAGCGGGAGCAGGAAGCCCCAGAGCAGGGCGGTCGCGGCCGTACGAAACGGCCGCTGCGGCCCCATCGAACTGCTGGGCGCCCGGCGGCGCGGCGCTTCTCGGCGGGCACAGGCTCCGGGTCCCGCCGCGGCGCTGCCTCCGTGGCCGGGCCGGACGGGCGCGGACGGCAGAGGTAGGCACGGGCGGCCGCTACTGTTGGGGCCGCCACTGCAGCGCCGACTTCCTCTTCCGGCTCCGCCCAGAGGACGCGGAAACCCCCGCGCGGGGCACGTGGAGTCTGGGTCCGCGCGCGCCGCGAGTCGGGCTGTTTCTCGGTGCTCTCCGGTCCCGGCGTTGGCAGGCGGAGGAATGTGGGTCTGGGCGTGTCTCTTTCTCTTTCCAGCTGCCTGACCCGAACTCTCCCCAGAGTCCGGGGATGGGGGGAGGGGTGCCCAAAGTAACTTTTTCCATACCCCTCTTCCTCCTAGGAGTCACCGTGCGCCTGTTCTGTACTCCAGTACCGACCCGGGCATCCGGGCCCAAACTCTGCGTGCGCTGAGCCTTAATTCATCTGCCCACCGACAGGTTCCGGTCACTCACACGTATATCCCAAATACGTCCACTGGGTCCCAAACTGCTGCGACCTCTGTATCCAGATGTTTCTCTCCTCCAAACATCTGTTTAAGACTCCGGGAGGCCCATTATCCACATACCAGCCCTAGATATAAATCAGATCATGTCACTCCCCATCGCACTTAGCACAAAATCAAAACTCTACTCTGGCCTACAAAGTTCATATAGTATGGTCCCTGTCTGCTCTGACCCCATCTTCACAACTTTTCCACGCTTTACATCCACATGGCCACCTTTGGTTCTTTTGTACTGGTAGTCCTCCCTCCTGGAATGTTTTTCTCAATACCGGTTCATTGGCATTCCCTGACATACCCATCGAAAGGAACCATCCAGTCGCTTTCATTACCACGTGGCTTATTTTAATTCTCTGTAAAGCACTTTTCACTCTCCTATTCTCTTGCTTATTTATGTGTTCATTTATCTGCGATGTCGCCTCCCACTTAATAGCAAGGAGTGTCTTTGCTTTGTTCACTGCCATATCCCTCATATCTACAATATCTGGCATAAAGTAGGTCCTCAAATATTTGTTGGATGAATATTTAATTCTAAACACTGAATAGGATGCTCTCCCTGCCATCCCACATCTGAGTTTATTAGCAAGGGACACAGATGTGTGAGCAAACATAGTTCAGGATGAATAATGACTCTTTCGTTTGCACAAGATGCCACGGGAGTACCAAAGGAACATATAAAAGGGGTGGCCAGGAGAAATGCCAACCTAAGCTGAGTCTAGAAGGGTGAGTTAATTTTAGCCAGGCAATGGGCAGGGGAAGGGGGAGGCTTCCAGGAAGAGTGAACCATTAGTGTCAAAGCCAAAGGTGACCTTGGAGGAACTGTAAAACTTGGGCTCGGCTGAAGTTATGAGTGGGGAAAGATGAAGTGAGAGAAGAGGACAGAGGCCAAATCACAAACAGATTAGGACATCCTACTTGGGACTTTAGGCTTCATCCAATTGTTGGTGGAAAACAGATTAATAATAATTAGAGCAGTGACAATTTTTTGGTTTAGAAAGCTCTCTGTGGTGGCAGGCGGGGTGGCAGTTGGATTGAAACAGGGCAAGAGTGGGAGCCAGGAAACCTGTTAGACAGCTGTGGTAACCTAACCCAGGCCAGGGATAGTAAGGGCCTGAACCGAGACAGTGGCAGAAGAAATGGGGAAGAAGAGATGGACCTGAAAGATTTGTAGTAGAATTTGGTAACTGAGAGGACATGGGAGATGAAGGAGAGAAGGAGAGGGATGATTGCTAAGATCCTGTCCTGGGCCATTTATTGAGATGATCACCACAGGAGTTGGGGTTGACGGGGGAGGACACACAGAGAAATATTTTGGACATGTTTTGAAATTCTTGTAGGACATCCAAGTCAAATGTCTGCAGGTTGATGGCTTGGTAGGTTGGTGCTAAGGTTAGTGGTACAATGAGGCCACAACACAGGTCTCCTGCCTGTAGATCCTAGACTCTTTTTCACACTTTCTAGCTGCTGAGGGCAAGCAAGTTTCCTCTTTAGTAAAATGGCTGTGATGGACTAGATGACTTCATCTCTAAATATTCCCTTGTGCTCATAGTGGCACTTTGCCTAGTGAATCTCCAGCGTGGCTCCTGAGGCTGTCTGAGGATCTCTGGTTTTCCTGTCTACATGTATGCCCAGTTTTCCTTCTCAATTGGAGAAAATTTTGTGCTTGCAGCCAAAGAAACTGTGTTATAGGCCAGTTCCTTGTACACTCTCTCTTTGCCTGCTTTAGTTTTCTCAGCTGAAAAATATGGACAGTTAATACCTGTACTGCCTGCCTCACATGATTATTGTAAAAATTACCTGGTTTATAATGTGGGTAAAATTACTCTGAAAAAAAAATTTTTTTAAAGCAGGAGGAGAGGAAGAGAAGGAGAAAGAAAAGAATAATAGAAGGCTGTCTTATTGCTGTCATCCAAAGTATCAACATTGTCATAATTCCCCTGCCAGAAGGGTGTCTCTTTGGTCAAAGTCCCTATGTAGGATGAGGTGAAGGAAACTGGGAGAGTTAATGGAGGATTAAAAGATTCTTGTGTAATGACTTGACTACTGGAAAGGCTATTAACACTTATTTGGAGGATACTTCTGTGTATCCTCCACATGAATTTCCCTGTAAGTGTTAGGTATGATAGAGAGTACCAGGATAAGTTTTAGTCAGTATTTTTCTTCCACAAATAAACTATGTATAAAAATCCAATTACAGGAGCACCTGGGTGGCTCAGTCGGTTGGGCATCTGCCTTCGGATTGGGTCATAATCCTGGGGTCCTTGGATCCAGCCCCACGTTGGGCTCCTTGCTCTGCAGGGAGCCTCCTCCTTCTCCCTCTCCCCCCTCCAACTCGTGCTCTCTCTCGCTCTAAAATAAATAAATAATCCAATTAACAGAAAACAAATATCATTAAAGATCATTTTTATTTCTAAATATACTTACTTAATGGAATTTTTTCCAATGATAAAATATAGAATGTTGTAGGTTGTTAGAATCTATGTTTTCTTCTAAGTGGTTTATAGTTTGTGGTCTTATGTTTTAAGTCTTTAAAGCATTTTGAGTTGATTTTTGTGCTTATCACTCTCTTAATGGGAATAATGATTACCATCTCAGTCTCAGTAATTATCTTGTCCACAGATTAAAAAGCTGCTTAGAGTTTCCTGGTATTGCTTTTATGTAAAGACTACCTGGCTTTGGTGAAATGCTTTCCTCCTCTAATACCTGTTTATGAGGCATTTCTCCTTGAGGAGAACATGTGACTTGAATGCTTCCTGGTTCACAAGAGGTGACTAGGAGCAGAGAGGCGAGCCAACAGCTATGGTTTCATCACTAGGTCTTCTGTTCGCCTGTTCACATATATTTATTACTGTTATTGACAGAATTCCTCCCCATTGGAGTTATGTCAATCAGTCAAACATAGTTGCCACTTCCTACATGAGAGGCGAATTTAAATTCAACTTGAATTTTAGGGAGTGCAGAAGAGTGTTCAGTAGTTGAAAATATTGGGAGAAAGAATTTCCTAATTCTCTTCACAGTTATGGAGCAGCATGTGACCTAAGGTGATAGACCAAAATTCAAGCTCTGGTCACTTCTCTTAGGAAATCTTTGTAAACTTGCAATAATGGAACTTCTTCTTCCTCCTCTTCTCCTCCTCCTCCTTCTTCTTTAAAGATGTACTTATTTGAGAGAGAGGGAGAGAAAGAGACAGAGAAAGCAGCAGGGAGAGGCAGAGGGAGAGAGAGTCTGAAGCAGACTGCACTGAGCACGGAGCCCAATTCAGGGCTCCATTTCAAGACCCTGAGAGCAGGGCCCTGAGATCACGACCTGAGCTGAAACCAAGAATCAGATGCTTAACCAATTGCACCACCCAGGCACCCCAACAAGGGAACTTCCTGAATGCAACACCATGCAAAGTTTAGTAATAATGTCTTATAAACTATTATTATTATTTTAAAGCTCACATTTACACCTGTTTTTTGCATACATTATCTAATTTAATTCATTTGAAGCAATTTTATGAGGTAAATTATTACTTTCATTTTGCAGATGAGGAAGTATATAGGTCAAATTATTCATATGAAATCCCCTACAAGATATGGTGCAGGAACTTAAACCCAATCAGATAGGATTCTGGAAAGATAGTGCAGTGGGGAGCATCCAGAGTCTGTAAATTGGATTCCCCTTTGTATAATTAAATGTTCGCTTAATTAAGAACTTTTGCCAATAATTAAGAAGCCTGTGTTGTCGTTTTGAATATTTTTAGGTTCAACTAAATTACTTCTGAAGTGTCTTCTAAAGCTTAAACAGGACTAGACTTTGAGGAACCACTGGATCTAATTTTTAAGAAAGTCAGTTCTTTTATTTTTAAAAAATTTTTAAAGATTTATTTAATTATTTGAAAGAGAGAGGAGAAAAAGAGAGAGAGAGACAGGTGGGGGCAGAGGGAGAGAGAGAGAAAGAATCTGAAGGAAACTCCCTGCTGAGCTTGGAGCCTGACACGGGGTTTGATCCCATGTCCCCGAGATCATGACCTGAGCCAAAACCAAGAGTCAGACGCTCAACCGACTGAGCCACCCAGGCGCCCCTAGTTCTTTTAATTTGCTTAGAAAAATCTGAAGGTCTCCTCATTGGTAATAAGGAGGAAGAAATTTAAGTAGCAGACTTAATATTAAGATGATTCTTTTGAGTCTTAAGATTATTAAGCCCAGAAATATATATATTTTAAAGTTATGTAACTTTTTTTTTCTTTAAAGATTTTATTTATTTATTTGAGAGACAGAGAGAATGAGAGAGAAAGCACATGAGATGGGGGGAGGGTCAGAGGGAGAAGCAGACTCCCTGCTGAGCAGGGAGCCCGATGCGGGACTCGATCCAGGGACTCCAGGATCATGACCTGAGCCGAAGGCAGTCGCTTAACCAACTGAGCCACCCAGGCGCCCTAAAGTTATGTAACTTTTTGAACATTTTAAATTTACCGAGTTCCTGATAAAAATTTTTTTTCCTTCCAGGTTATATTTTACACTAAAAATGAATAAAGATAACTTGATACGTATGTACAATAACATTATAGACTACTTTTGAATTCTTTGAATAAGTTGTTTTATAAAAAATTTTCTGAAAGAAAGTGTATTGTAAGCTACAGTTATATTGTTCCTGGTGTTGGGGCATAACAAGAGGTGCTAT